GTAGATTAAAATAACATTTTTAAATATATTTTTACTGAAATTGAAAATATATATTTAATAAAGAAAAATATTTCATTGTGATTTTTTTCTCGTTCTATCATGATATTATGTCGCAAAATCTTTCTCTCTTTTCTTTTATCGATTTTCCGCCTTTAATTCAGCTTTCATCGATATCACACCAAAGTCGATATCGTTTTTTTCTTTTGCTTCACGTAATGTACACCGCGCCCAGTTTTCTCGCGCCGAAAATAGCGCAGCGAATTCAGAACGAAAGAAAGCGCAACGGTTGTAGGTACGGGTGCAGGTGATTGAAAGCCGATACTCCGCGCTTGCACCAGATGCAGTTGCATGATCATTGCTCGGCTCCCTCGGGCGTCAGACAGTATCGGCACCGAAATTTTTCTCCGCCCAGCAACCGTCGCCACAATTACGAATTTCTTTTTTTTCTTGGTATCTCATTCTCTACCGCGTTAAAACACCGAAGTACCGGTGCTCCAGTAACTAAAAATCTGATAATATTACAATTGCGGCAAAATTAAATTGTGATATTTTTTTTTTTTTCGCTGTAATATCGTATCTGAATTTTATGAAAAACTAACACGAAACGAGATAGATGTCTGACCTTGACGTTACTCTTAACATCTGTTTTTATATACTCTAAAAGTGAATCAGTGAAATCATCACTAATTGCCAGTGCATATTATTTTCCAGTGGCATACTTAGAACTGTGATAAACAGTGACTATTTCAATGCCGCTTTCAGTGATAATATACTGATTCAAACAGTGAATATCACTGAAAGGCAGTGAATTTCACTGTCAAATAGTCAAATTCACTGCCTTTCAGTGATATTCATTGTTTAAATCAGTATATTATCACTGAAGCGACATTGAAATAGTCACTGTTTATCACAGTTCTAAATATGTTATTGGAAAATGACATACACTGACAATCAGTGATGATTCCACTAATTCACTTTTAAAGAGTAGGTTAACTTTAATCTCGATTTAACTTATCTCTGTTTATCTCTTTATCTTTCCCTCTATAATTCCACGTATCTTCATCTTAACGCCAAGTAAACTGCGCTCGATATTAAGCGAAAATGTACTCGACCGCGTCGCAACGCAGTGCTGGCGGTCGTTCGGATTATTTATTGATGAGGGCATCGGCAGAAGAGTGGAGAAGGAGTTACGCGACACGGCGCGGAAGGTCGAGGGACGGTAAAGGGATATAACACCTCCAGCAGAGGCAGGTCGACGCTACAAGACGGTCGACGTGCGTAAAGATGTGCGTGCGTATATATACGCGCCTGTGTATCGGTACCGGATATCCGTGAGGTGACTTGCTTCGCGCGTCGTATTCGGTCGGAATATGCGGGCGCAGTCTTTTTAGAAGGGCCGATCGAGCACGAAGCGCGCGTCCGGTGGACGACGACGATTGGCCCTTCGTATAACTGAGGTACGATTCAGAACCTACTTTCTTTCTTCTTGAAAAAAAAAAATCACAAAATCCAAGTGACAAACTTATCAGGCGCCGACTCTTTTAATTGGACATGTTATTTTCAATGCGATTCTGCGTATCATCGAAATGTTCGGTTGTTTTATTGCTTTAAAGAAAACGGTATTTTAATTTTTAAAACGATTGATTTTGATTAAAAAAAACAAGTGAATTACGTAGATTAAATTTTAAGATTGTATTATGCCAACAGCCTACTTTCTTTCTTCTTGAAAAAAATATCACAAAATCCAAGTGACAAACTTATCAGGCGCCGATTCTTTTAATTAGATATGTTATTTTCAACGCGATTTTCCGTCTCATAAAAATGTTTTATTGCATTAAAAGAAACTTATTTTAATCTTTAATACGATTGATTTTTTATAAATAACAAGTAAATTACGTAGATTAAAATTTAAGATTGTATTATGCTGACAAGCTACTTCTTTTTTCTTGAAAAAAAATTCACAAAATCCGAGTGATGAACTCATTAGGCGCCGACTCTTCTAATTGGATATGTTATTCTCGACGAGATTCTGCATATCGTCGAAAAGTTATTTTATTAGATTTGAAAAAACTGTATTTTAATTTTTACTATAATTAATTTTTGTAAGTAACAAACGAAATAAAATTTAATGTCGTATTATACTATAACAATAAGTCGCACAGCAAGCAATTCTGCGCATGAAAATCGCGTAACAGAAGTGCGTGATAACTCGTCACGCAATATTAATAACAATATAAATTCCTCGAAGGTAATAAACGTTAAGCCACACAATGGCGCAAAAAAAAGAACACCGAAAGACGAAGCGCGCGAGCCTCGGGCCAGATCGCAAATCCAACGTTCCGCGCCTCCTTTAACGATCCTTATAAATCCTTAACAGCGGCGGGTTTATCGCCGTGACTGCCGACGGCGATCGGGTTGCGACTTTCGTAGTTGCGGGAACCAATCGGGCGCATACCGATCGCTGCTGAACGGTCGTCGCTCGTGAAAGGTGGAAAGAATGGTTTCCGAATGTTACGCGCGAAGCGCGTTTCCGAGAAGTGACATTCCATCGGAAAAAATTTCGACCTATACTGATATTCAGTTATCTGCTCGAAATAACATTCTTTAATCGACCGGTTGTGTTCTAAGTAAATTTATTTCGATGATATTTTCGTCTATTTGCTCTGGCACGTCGTCAACAAGTCTCTTGTCTAAAAGTTCACCCGCACGTGTGTTAAATTTTTAAACTTTAAAGAAAGTAATTTTTAAACTCTAAAGAAAGATGTATTATGCGGTGTCTACAATAAGACTTAAGATTTAAGATTTAAGGAAATTTTGTGACCTATATCATAGTCGATTATTCATTCCACGTGAGAAGAATAATCGATTGTGATTGGCCAATTTTCTTAAATCTTAAGTCTTAAGTCTCATTGCAAGACGTCAGTTTTAAACTTTCATCCAAATGAGATATTCGCGCACAAACCTACGCCGTCGAAATTGTCGAAAGATATCACGGGAATTATTGCCGGGGGAATTCCTGTCCGACGCTCTCTCCGGTTTTCGTGGAATTCCATACGTATTCTCGATCGATCCGTTCACCGCCGATTCGTCGTATACCGTTATTGCCGGAAAGACAATCATCGACGAGAGAGTAACACTTGTCCTCGGTGTGAAGTTTCACGCGGGGTCAAGTGTCGCGGAAGGTCCGCGCACACGGACGGATTAGTCTCCGACGCGCGGCGATCTAGGAGGTCCGCAGTATCTTCCATCCGATCGAAAACCAGGACACGACTTGCCGTTTCTTCGTGCTAAGTCGAGCGCGTCGAAAGAATCTCTATACAGTTACCCGTGACATCGACGAAGGCACTTCTCTCTAGCCCGGACGAACGGAATGTCCGTTCGCCCCGTCGACTCTCTTCCGTCACTCTGCGCGACGCAAAATTCGTTACAGAAGATACTCATCTCATATATCAGGAACACGTATCAGTCTTAACATCAGAATATATAGTGTCTTGCATAATGCCGTTTCTAACGACATCCGAGGCTTGTACGACAATATTGTAATTGTTTGAAAATTTTAACATGTCATCTTATTTATAATTCATTTTAAATGAAAAAAAATTATTATAATATTATATTAAATAAATAAAAATTTTCTGAAATTATCGCATCTACAGATAACACTTTGTAAGAAATTAAATAATTTTTAGGAGGAATCCTCAATAAAATGTAATATGAGATTAATTATAAGCGGAGCTGTATTATTGCTATTTTTATTTATCTGCATTATACGGATATCACACGAGTCTTTCGTTTGTCAACAAAGGATCAAGTAAAACGTATCCAACGAGAACAAACATGCAACATATATATATAGAATGTTGATAATACGCTCAAACTAATTTAAGTCTAGTGAGAACTCGCGCGACTGACAACAAACAGACTCGCAGTGGTGCAGCCAACAACTCCGCTACGCTTCCGTTATGCAAACGGAATAAGAGTAAAAACGTTCGTTCGCTCCCTCCGAAACGTCCGATTTTTCCTCGCCGCGAGTGTTCTCGTTCGCGCGCCGGCATATATATAACATATAAGTTAGCAACGGGCGTTCGAATTAACGTTCAAGCCACGGGTAAATATAGAGGGGCCACCCAGCGTGTGTGCAACTAATGTAACCCGCGGTGGGGGAGATTCCGCTCGAATCGTTTCCCTCTTTTTGCCCGCGCAGCGAGCGCATCCTCCTTTTTTCCTCCCCGCGGACGATTTATCCCGTATTTCTTGCTCCGCTCCTTTTACCCGCGCCTTTTCCACGCGCCGCCCGCGCCGCCGCGTGAAAATTTACGTCGTCGCGCTTCTGTTCGTATACGAAATATCGGCACACTCCGTTCGGGAATAATTAAACCGACACTCTCGACGATTTTCTTACGTTAATTTGCTTCCATCTGCCGTTACACTTAATGACGCGATTCAATTTAATACGCGTGGTAGCAAGTCAGGAGGATTTTCATACTTTTACGTTTAGTAATTCAGCAGAGATCAGAATCGCGATTTTCATTCCAAAACACAATTTAAAAAATATACAAAAGATAAGAAACTCGCACTTTATCGTATATTTCTTCATTTGATTTTGATTTTTTTGTTTCTTTTTCCTGTATTTGCGATTTTTATCTTCGCGACGGAATTTTTGCTATATGTTACATTATAGTCGTTAATCCTGCTATTCTGTTCAAATATCGTTCATGTAAATATAATCAAAAAGCTCTGAAAGATAAAAAAAATAAAAAATTTTTACAGAAAAAAATATCTCACATTAACAGACGAAGTCATCAAATCGTCAAGTCATCAAATTCCGGAGAAAAAAAGTTTTAAAATAAAATATTGGTAAGAAAAAGAGTAAAGTACGTTTTGGGTCAAGTAAACCCGAACAGAATAACAGGATTAAAAGGCGAGGGAAGAAAAAAGTATCGCATCCGCAAAAGATGAACGATAAGAGAAACGGTAAAGCGTGCGTGACAGTCGCTTACCCTGCACCCACAGCTGCTCGACCTTGCTGTTGACTTGCGCGGACTTGAGGGCGACGCAGAGGATCGCCAGCGCGAGGACGGCCACGAACAGCACCTTTCCGGCATGCCTCTGCAGGAAGTAGCCCAACTGGCTCAGCTGATCCTGCAGTCGCGCCCTGAACCACACCGCTGACCTCTGGCCGTCCGCCTTCCCCTGGAAATAAGATCGAGGGCTTCGTGACGTCGTTGCGCAATTACATATGTATGTGCGTGACCCAAAAAAAAAATTCCGATGTACGATTAACGCTCTGCTATGTATTCACTAAGAGATTTCACGGTGTACGAACTCGAACTTCTCCTTCTCTTTCGCAAAACAAACGGACCCGAATTACACTACGTAAACGGAAATACGTGTACGTTCCTTTTTTCCAAAATATTACAGAAAAATTGGATCGGCGCGAGCATGCACGTGTATTGAACAACGCGCTTTCGCGCGTGTCGCGTTTTCGCGCCGACTGGTATGACAATATCGTCGAATAATTCCATCGCAGAGCTGCTTGCCGAACCGGCACCAATTTATCTCTGTAAATGGATCGTACTACAAATCTCCGTCGAAAATGTTCTATACGAATCGTCGCCGATATTTCGGGGCGATCTGTATTCTAGAATAATTCCGCCGGGCGGCGTTAACGCGGGATAAGAATGGGTGCGAGCCGGTTTCCGGGAAAAATCGAGTGAATGCACTCATCGCGGAGGGTATGACAATGTCATCGAGTGCAGAGAACGAAGAAGCGGGGTGACGCGGGGGCAGAAGAGGGCAAGTGCATCGGGGGCCTTTAAATTCGACGCGTGGGTTTGTAGAACGACGAAGCGGCGGAAATGAGAAAAAGCGAGAGTGAGACAGAGAAGGTCAGTGAAGAAGGAACGTGGACACAAACGGCGGGGGGAGGGGAGGGAAGGGGAGAATGGGGAAAGAGGAGAGGGTGAGGATGGCGGTTCGGGCTTTTAGAGCGAGGTTACGGCTGCTTAAACGAAACCGAGAAAAAAAGGAAAGAACGAGAAAAAGAAAGAAAGAGAGAGAGAAAATACAGAGAAGAAAAGAGAAGGTACAAAGAGAGGGGTAATCGTACAAGGAGAGTCGGGGGGCCTTACGGGGAGGAGAGACGGGGGAAGGAAAGCCGCGCTTGCAACATTGCAAGCGGCAACGTTGCACACTACCTGGTGGCCGCTCTGACAATATGTACCGTGGACCACCCGCAACAATGCCTATCTTTCGAGTCGGGACGGAGCGAGAGGGATGCCTAATTCAGAAAGAGACGGGGAGAAAGAGAGAGAGAGAGAGAGAGAGAAGTCGGCCGGAGTCGTAGCTATCACCTACTCGCACGGCGCCTAAATAAACAAACACGGCACGATTTGTGACAAACAAGTATTTAGTTATAGGTAGTTGACCCAGGGGCTGCATAAGGGGTTTAGCTACACGCGCCAACACCAGTGAGTGCTCTATTATTTGCCAGTGTCGTTACGTCATAATCGTTCGCCCGTTCTTTCACGAAATTATCGCAATCGTAATTAAAAACAAAAAAAATTATCCGATTGCGCGCGGCCTCCCGGCAAACGTCATTTAGCTTGAAACGCCGAGGAAATGCACAATGTATAAAATAAAACCCGTGATAGCTATAAAATTATTTATGATCGTGAGCGCTGTGTATATCAGAAGAGAAAGAGAGAGAGAGAGAGAGAGAGCAAAAGGATGTATTATGCCGCCCTTTTGCACCGCACCAATACAGTTATCTTTTAAGAGAGTAAAGCGCGCGGCGCTCTCGCGCGCACGCTCGCGCACAGCTGACGGACGAAAATATGGATTGCGCGCGCGGGCACGTATCTCGGGGCGGTAGCCGCGTCGGGTATCGGATAGCAAGGTTTTCCAGCCAATTAACTCTCGTGGCGCGGGCCCGTGACTCGGCACGGGGTGAGAGGGAGGAGGGGGTGAAGGGGGCCCGCGTAATTCTAGACGCGCGGACAATCCGCGTCCGCCACATGGTGTGCCGTCGCCGCCGCTGCGCTACCCGCAGCAGCCGCCGCCCCGGCGCGTCAGCGGGTCCACCGCGCTACGCGCGCGCGCCCAAACTGAGTTTCGCATTTCCGCGTGACTTTTACCCGGCCGTTTCCCCCGAAAAGATGCACAGTCAGCGGAGCGCGATACCGGTATCTCAGTATTCAAAGTATACATCGCGCTATTATTTGAGGGGCACATTGGCATTTTAGTTTACCAGCATCTCGGTTTTTATCGAGAATCTTTTGATTTTTGCGTGACTTATATGGGCGCGGTATACTAGTTAGTATATAGTAATAATTATTAACCATATTATTTTTGCTTAACACATTCCGTGCTGCGTGTGGCTCACCGATGACCCACGCTGAACTTTCCGTTCAGATCGTTTAATATTTGACGAAAAGAAATTTAATTCTAAAATAATATCTAATATTATAGTGGATAATTAATGATGGATACATAAATATTGATGTATGATATAAATTATATGTATGGTATGTATAAAATGGTACATTTTAGGGCTTCTTCTTTATAATAATTTTTGTAATTTTTTAATCATTATAAAATACATGTTATTTAGCAAATATAATAAACAAACAGAAATATGATATATCACTAAATAAACCGCACGATGTGGTCACTTAAAATTGGCGCGACACGAAATATGTTAATTTTCCAAAAAATTTTCCTATACCGTACGCCATAAAAATAAAGTAAAAAATAAATGTACATGTAATTATCTTACTATTCCTTCGACGAGGTTCGAAGCAGAAATTTAAAATTTTAATTTCAGACTTACAAGACATACATGGATGTGGCATACAACGATACTCTCAAAGTTGACTCCGAATTTACTCGAGAATCTGCCATTAAAGTTACGATCGGGAGTTGCGAGACACCCTGTATACCATCGAGAGAGCACACACCGGTATTTTCACCGACCGTTTCGAGAAAGAAACCGAAAGGACGAAGAAGAAGAAGAAGAAGAAGAAGAAGAAGTAAAAGGAAGTCGAGACGCCACGAGTCGCTCTCGAGACGTCTATATAGCGTCCACACACGCGGCAGCGCGCGAGAGAGGGAACGGGAGGGTGGACGAAGAAGAGGAGGGGAAGGGATGAGCCGAAGGGGGACAAAGATGGTTCCCCCCTTTTTCCCGTAAGTGGTCTCTCTCTCACCGCGGGCCTTATGGGGTTTCTCCCGGCGGTGGGCAGTATCTACATATTACAAGCTCGCGGCGCGGAGACCACCGTCGTTGACATAAGATCCTGTTATGCTGTCTGCTATCTCTCGACGCAGCTCGTGTCGCGCCATAAAAAACATTAAAAGTACGAGTAACATAAATTCGTTAAGCGCGGCGGCGGCGTCGGTCGCCTCGCTTCTCTCGCGAGAGTGCCCTCCTCGAGAGAGACGAGAGTAGAGAGAGACGAGCGCGCTGATCGCCCGCTCGGACACTCTCACCCTCTTCACCTCGTCGGGCTCTTTGTGTCTCCCCCTGGCTCCACTCTCGATTGCGATTCTCTTACTTTATTGCTCGTCGATTGTACCCGTCGACACACAATACACAATCATCGATTTTGAACCTGGAATTGGTTGTTGTATCTGTGATCGCCAAGGACCGTGATAAAAAGAGATTCCATTTTTTTTTCCTATCAAAGGTATATCGAAGGGGTGTTAAGTTTGTTACAGCTGAAAAAAACTTACCACAGCTACTGTGGAAAATTAACACAATTTGCGAAACGTCGCCGGCTCGAGCGCGCGTGTTTCTTTCCTTTTCATTTCTTTCTCGGTCGCGCCGTGAATTCCAGAATATCTATACTCCGTGTACGTACGCGTGCACGTAACTCACCGCGGTACCGCCATGCCGGATAAACGAAGAGATTCTTGCGGTAGGTACGGCTCGAAAGTGTCCGCAAGAAACTCGATCCGGCCGGCGCTCTAATCGACCGGAGAATTCCACGGTGATGTCTATTCGAAAGGGAAATCCAAAGGTCGAATTGCGGACAGTAACGAGCTTTCGTGACCATTGATAATCGCGAGTTGACTCTCTTCCCCCTCCCCCCCTCCCTTTATTTCGACCTTGTGACCAGGCCTTATTGCGACGTTTACCGCTCTATTTTAGCATTTCAATAGATAATTGGTAATTTTGATATTCCCCTCAAGGAACTCTAATTAGTACTCTCTAAGAGTACATTTGAAAAAATTCTGACAATTAAACGTAAGAAACAGATGTTTAAAGATATATGCATCGCCTTCATGTTTCTGTTATACGGAAATTAATAGTAATTTCATTTCGAGTATCGATTTCAGTTATGAAGCCTGCATCTACAATTGTGTAAGCGCATTATAGTTGTAAGAATTGACCAATCACTGTCGAATATGAGGAGAAAATTTGTCTGTGTGATTGATCAATTATTACAACTACAACCGCTTACGACATATGCTTACGCAATTGTAGATACGGCTTAACATTTTTCGATTCTTGAAAAACTATCTAAAACTATCAGGAAGACGGAAAGTTTTCCAAAATTTTTCTCTGGGGAACCAATCTTTGGTACACCAAGTTTTTGTGATAATAAGTATAAAGCTAAAGAGAAGTCAGTGCCTCTCAAGAAAAAAAAACATGAACGACCTTTCGACACAAAATTGTCAGTGTAAGGAGAGCTCTATTTGAACTTTCTAAGGGCTTTAGGGACATATTGCTCATGCACGTATGTACAACGGGAGCCAAGTACAGGACGAGCACGACGGGCGGAAGATGAAAGGCGTCCGAACGACGCCAGCTCGTGTGGGCGTGTATCCTTCAGCAAGGATGAAAGGGACGAACCGACCCTAAGGCGCATCGGTGTCCGACACACTCCCCTTCCTTCTCCTCGTCGGTTGTCCCTTACTTCCAAACTCGAGGAAAAGCGTGACGGTCGGTGTCTTTAAAATTTTTCACGTGTTAAGAACGTGTGAAAGCTTCCTGCCGGTTTTTTTTTTTAATGAAAACTGAGCTCGCGAGAAAGCTCGTCAGATTGACGTTTTGCACCTGTGCACAAATCTAACTTCTGCCAATCTCTCTCTACTTGCGAAAAAAAAAAAGATATATATATCAAAGGTATTTGTGACCGGCATATGAATGATAAAATTCATTATACACATATAAATTAATATAATAATAC